ATAATCTTTTACCATTTTTTTACTGATGGGCATTGCTGGTGTTGCACATCGCCAGCGTAACAGTGTGAATATCTCAAATTGCTCAAACCAAAATGAGCTTAATGACATTGTACGAATAACTTACCGGATAGCTTCTGTTACACGCTTATAAGCATCCTCCACACCGTCCATACACACAAATGGGTACTGATAAGTTTGCGGTGTAATCAGATTCAAATTGCTCTGGCCCCTAATTGAGCCTAGGTTTTTAGTTTCAGACCAAGTTTCAGTGTCGCTTTTTGTTGCTTCGCCACGCTTGCGTTCTTATATTTGCAGCAAACGATATTTGAGAATAATTTTCGTTTTTTGGTTGCACATCGGCTATAATCTTTTGCATTGAGCATTGATAAAAATGCCCATTAGAAAGATTGAAGTGTCTCCGCTTTCTTTATCAAGCGATGTTCGGAAGTGTGTTTGTGTGTGTGTGTGTTACTGTCAGCAATCATTAGGCTAGCCAAATCTTGCACACAAACCCACAACTGACACATTTACATTGAACTACGAATGTGTTTACACAGTTCAGCAAACATTCATTTTTCTACCTTCCTCTGCTAACGTTTTGTTTGTTTGCTTGCTCGTCTGTTTCCCTTTTTTATTGCAAATTCTGCTTCTTAATTTCAATATCTCCAATGTCCACCCCTTTAGCTTCAGCAGCAGAAGAAGCCTCCACGACCATGGACAGCATCACCACCGAGTCGGCCAGCGGCGCCGACTACGAGCAGATCTGCCAGCAGCTGGGCACCAATCCCGACCAGGGCCTCAGCTGGGCGGAGGCGGAGCGCCGCCTGCAGTTCAGCGGCTACAATGAGCTGAACGTGAAGCCGGCGGAGAGTCTGCTGGTGAAGTACCTGGAGCAGTTCAAGAACCCGCTCATCATCCTCCTGCTCGCCTCGGCGGTGATCAGCCTCACCATGCAGCAGTTCGATGACGCCTTCAGTATTACCTTTGTAAGTGCTCTGTACATGATGTACAACTGTTCAATTGTTTTCATTTTCATTTTCAACACCGTTTTTCCAGGCAATCATCATCGTAGTGACGGTGGCCTTCGTCCAGGAGTACCGCTCGGAGAAGTCGCTCGAAGAGCTGAACAAACTGGTGCCGCCCACCTGTCGATGCCTTCGCTCCGGCACCGTCCAGTCCTTCTACGCCCGCGACCTGGTGCCCGGAGACATTGTCCTGCTGGCCACCGGAGACCGGGTGCCCGCCGACATGCGTCTGGTGGAGGCGGTGGAGCTGGCAATCGACGAGAGCAGCTTCACCGGCGAGACGGAGCCGGCGGCAAAGCGTTCAGAGGCAATCCCCGAAAACTCCGGTAACTCCACCACTACCACCACCGCCGCTTTTGCCTCCTCCTCCTCCTCCACTTTGCTTAACGGAGGCGGTTCTCATGGAGGTCAGAACAACCACAACTCCTCCACCTCTTCAACTACTGCCTACAAGCGAAACATCGCCTTCATGGGGACGCTGGTCTGCGGAGGGCACGGCCGCGGCGTGGTGATCAACACCGGCGACCGCTCTCACTTTGGCAAGCTCTTCCGCCTGATGCAAAGTGAGGAGGCGCCGAAGACGCCGCTGCAGAACAGCATGGACACGCTAGGCAAACAGCTTTCCCTCTGGTCCTTCGTCATCATCGGCTTCATCATGCTGGTGGGCGTCATCCAGGGTCGCCCGTTGCTGGAGATGTTCAACATTGGCGTCTCCCTCGCGGTGGCGGCCATTCCCGAGGGCCTGCCCATCGTCGTGACGGTGACGCTGGCGCTGGGCGTGATGCGCATGGCCAAGCACAATGCCGTCGTCCGGCGACTGCCCACCGTGGAGACGCTCGGTTGCGTGACGGTAGTGTGCAGCGACAAGACCGGCACGCTGACGGAGAATCGGATGACCGTGAAGACGGTGGTCACCTCGGAGCTGGTCAGCGCCGACCTGGAGGGCTCTCTGCAGAGCTCGGGTTCATTCTCAGAGGGCTCTTCAAACTATTTCAGCGGAGGTGGAAGTGGCAGCAGCACCGGCGCCGGGCGTCACCAGCTGAGCGGCCGCCAGCGAGAGTCAGTTCGCCGCCTGCTGGAGGTGGGCGCCGTCTGCAATAACGCCCAGTACGAGTGCGACCAGAACTCCTCCTCCTCGCCTGATACGTCAAATGCTCAGCCAGCCGTCTCGCTGGGCCAGCCGACGGAGATTGCCCTGCTGGCGGCGGCGGCCAAGTTCGACCTGGTGGGCGTGCGCGAGGGCTACGTCCGCCTGGAGGAGATGCCCTTCAGCAGCTCCTCGCGGGTGATGGCCGTCCGGGCGGCGGCCCGCTCCTCCAGCGGCGACCCGGTGGAGGCCACCGCCCGCTACTACGTCAAGGGCGCCCTGGAGCGGGTGCTGGCGATGTGTGGCAGCTACTCGGCGGCGGACGGCGTCGCCGTGCCTCTCACCGCCGACAAGGCCGCTCAGTACGTGGGCGAGGGCGTCAAGCTAGGTCGGGATAGTCTCAGAGGTAAGTGAAAAAAGAAGGTATTGAGAGATTGTCAGTAGATGATAATAACCGGTTTTTTGTTTTTGCCCCCCCCTCTAGTGCTCGCTTTTGCCGCCGGTTCCTCTCTGGAAGAGCTCACCTTTTTTGGCATGGTGGGCATCTACGATCCGCCGCGAGCCAACGTCCGGGACGCCATTCAGGCGCTCAAGACCTCCAACGTCGAGGTGAAGATGCTGACGGGCGATTCGGTGCACACGGCCAAGGCCATCGGCGCCAGGCTGGGCTTGTTGGGAAACGGCGGTGGAGGAGGAGGAGGAGGAAGTACTTCCTTCCTGAATGGTCTTCATGAGCCCAGAGGTGGTGCTGGTGGTGCTGGCGGTGGCGGTGGCGGAGCCCTTTCCGGCGACGAGATTGACCGCCTGGACGAGGTGGCCCTGGCGGCGGTGATCCGCGACGTGTCCATCTTCTACCGAGTCGGCCCCAGCCACAAGTTGCGCATTGTGAAGGCGCTGCAGAGCACCGGAGCCATCGTCGGCATGACCGGCGACGGCGTCAACGACGCGGTGGCCCTCAAGAAGGCCAACATCGGCATTGCCATGGGCCGGGCGGGCACTGACGTCTGCAAGGAGGCGGCCGACATGATTCTCCTCAATGATGACTTCTACACCATCATGTAAGTCAGGGCTGAGGATATTGGTAGTGGTGAACAAAATTAACAACACTTCTTTATTAACAGGGTGTCCATCGAAGAGGGCAAGAGCATCTTCTACAACATTCGAAACTTTGTCACCTTTCAGATGAGCACGTGAGTGTTTTTGCCAGCTATATTTAGGTTTCTGGTAGAATCAGTAAAAGTAATTGACTTTTTTCCCCTTTCACAGGAGCATCGCCGCCCTCTCGTTGGTGGCCATCGCCACCATCTTCCGCGTGCCCAACCCACTGAACGCCATGCAGATTCTCTGGATCAACATCATCATGGACGGGCCGCCGGCGCAGTCGTTGGGCGTCGAGCCGGTTGACCCGGACATTGTTCAGCAACCGCCGCGAAACGTCAAAGATCCAATGATCAACATTGAGGTCATCATCAACGTCCTCCTCTCTGCCACCGTCATCGTCATCGGCACTATGGCTGTCTTCATAAATGAGGTGAGCGATTGCAGAAGCATTTTGACTGAATGAACTGACACCTAATTCTCCTTCTAAAATTTCATTTCATTTTAGATGAAAGACAATTTGGTGACGCCACGCGACACCACTATGACCTTCACCTGTTTCGTCCTTTTTGACATGTTTAACGCGCTTGGCTGTCGATCTCAAGTAACCTTTTTTCTGAGTATTAGGCTTTTATGCTGAAAATAATGTTTTTGTTTATCCTCTTTTATGGCTCAGACTAAATCCATCTTCAGCATTGGCTTTCTGGCGAACAAGCCTTTCCTCATCTCTGTCAGCCTTTCTCTGATCGGCCAAATGCTGGTCATCTACGTGCCTTTCTTTCAGCGCATCTTCGTCACCGAGGCGCTGTCCCTGAGCGACCTGCTCTACCTCCTCCTGATGGCCTCTTCTGTCTTTGCACTCTCTGAAATGCGCAAGCTGTACAAGCGTCATGCGAAGGTTCTCCGCTTTGGTGGTCGATCTTCAGCTGGCAACACCGGTGGCAGCGGCAGCAGCATCGCCAGCCGACTGTCAATGCGCAGCACCGGCGCTCCCAAGGACAAGTCGTACATGGTCTGAGAAGAGTGGTGGTCTGCTGAAGTGATCACTTTGATCATTTGATGTCAAGACACTATATTCAATACCACCACCAACAACAACAACAATAACACCGACACCACTTCGAGTCAATTGTCCAAAGCACAACAATCCTCTCTGTTTTTTCCTAAAATGCCAAGTCAAGTTTTTCTTCCAGCCATACCTTTTTTTCTACTCTCCAGGTGCAACTTGATAGTATCCCTTTATTTACTATTTTCGGCAATATTTGTCTGTTCTGTTTTTTGTTTGTTCTTTCCATCTTCCGCTACATCTTCACCCTTTTTTACCTTTTTATAATTTTCTATATTTTTCTTTTTCTTGTTGCCGCCGTTGTGATACGCACCACTACCTTTTTGCCCAACTGATCAATTTTGTTTCTATTTCAACTTTTATAATTTAAGTCCACGGCTTTTGAGTATTACCTTTGATTGTTTTCCACCCCACTGTGAATGAGTCTTGCAATCTCTCCCTCTCTTTCTCTTCTTCAACCTTTACTCAAATGAAAATCTCTATCTTTTTTCTACCGGTATTACCCATTTTCAGGTTCAACAAATATAATATATTTATTTATTGCCATTTTTCTAATAAACATTTTTATTAGTTTTATTTATTTAATTCAAATGTTTTAGTTAATTTTTCATTTAAAGAAAAACCAAGTTTTCTTTTCTAGAACTTTTGCTGCCGCACCGCAGAGCTGTTGGCCTGATTGGGCATAAACTGGTGCTGCGATTGCTGCAGCTGTACAGTTGCACAGTTTGGATAGCGCCCCTGTGAAAGGTGCCAGAGAAAGGGACAGTGGTTCTTGAGGTGATCCGGCAGCCAGGTCAGATCGTGCAGCAGCTTGTGACTGTACAGAGAGGTCAGGTCAGGGAAACAGGCGCAGCACAGGTTGCACCGGTACATTGCAAGCTGATTTGGCTGTACGGCAGCAACCGCAGCAGATTTTTGATTTGGAAGCAAATTGAAATTGAACTGGTGTTGTTGACGCTGAAGATTAGAGTGGTCAAGCAGGGGTGTGTTTGGGTTTGGGTTTAACTGTTGCTGGCGCAAACGGTTTACAAGTGAAGGTATTGACGGTGGTGGAGGTGGTGGTGGAAATTTTGGCGGTAAAGAAAGCTGTTGAAGCAGTGTTGATGGGTGTGGTTGTGGCGGTAATGGTGGTAATCGAAATGTCCAGTTAGTGGTGGCCATTGAAAGAAGGTCAGGATTATTATTAGATGGCTGCTTCACCAAAAGATTGCCCTTTTCAAGGCGCTTTTGACGTTTAGGAACAAACGGGTAAGGATTTTTTCGGCCTTTGATTTTGCTTTTGTTGGCTCCAATAAATGAGTCCAATTGAGCAAAACTACCAAAACCACAAAAGTTGTCGTTGTTGTTTGCAACTATTTGACCATTAACCAATGGGCTGAAACAGTGATTTTGCTCATTTGGGTACGACTTATTGGTGAGAATTGCGTCGATTGAGTGATTGATGCGACTTGAACTTGCAGCTTTTGGTAATTGATTTTCAACAACATTTAAACTGGAAACAGTTTTGCTGATGTTTAAAGTAGGCGAAGTGGGAATTGGTGCGTTGAACATTTTTTTATTTTTTAATGAGTTTGAATAGATTTTTGATAAATTTGATGGTTTGTGTTCTCTTTTTACAATTTTGCCCAAGTTTGGTGTTTGAATATGAAACTTGTATCATCTTTATTCTTTCTATGCCATTTTACAATTATCTTGCGTAAAAAA